ACAACAGCAAAAGCATATCTGTTACACATGATGTTAAATGGTAAATGGACTGTACTTGTACAGCGCTTTTCTAGTCATCTGACCACTCAAAGCTCTTCCTGTCGTGTTCGTTTCTCCCCCCTTACTTCAGTGTTCCCGGTCAAATTTGACCGGTCTGTTTTAACTGCTCTTACATTAACACAAAAAACATTCATCATCACCATGGGGATGGGCACAGAAGAGCGGTACAGAGATGGGTTCCCATAACAAACACCTGATTTTTTGTTTGAAGTTTGAAATGTGTACAACTTTATATATGGGGCTGTGAACAGGTGTTCACACAGGTCTGTGTGTGTATGTGTGTGTGTGTGTGTGTGTGTGTATGGGGCTGTTTTCAATCTGATGATTGGACATAATCTTGTCACGATTAGGCTTTGCCTTCTGTGTTCTGTGTCTGTGTGTGTCTGTGTGTAGCTCCACACCCTCCTCACTCTATCAGCCACTCCCTCATCACCAGCTCCCTTCACCTTCCTCTGATCACTAATCAAGCACTCCCTCCTCATCAGCACACCTCCCCTCACCTGTTCAAGCCACTATATAAAACTATTGCCTCTCAGTCACTCTTTGCCAGATCATTGTCATGTCTGCCCGCCCGTTTGCCTCGTCCTGCCAGAGTTCTACCCTCGTCTCTCATCTCGTACTTGGTTTCCCTGCTGTTTTCCATGTAAGATTCCTGTTGTTTTCCTGGTTCATTAAAGACCTGTTTCACTCTACTTCTGGGCATGTCTGCATTTGAGTCCTCCACCACACCCCGTGACAAATCTAGTGTTTCCCATTAATTTCGTATGGCGATCACTTTTGACCGGGAACACCGGTCAAAGTTGATTAAATCACTAAAAATTCAATGAAAGTGGTGATCAGCAATTTGATATGTTCAAATGCCTAGTGTGGAGGATATCATGAGGCCTTGAGGCAATCAGATGTAAAACACAATATTTATGATTGATTAAAGTTGTAAATCGGTCAGATTTGACCCGAACACAACAGGAGGGTGTCTGAGAATTTTGAAAAGCGCTATATAAATGAAATGTATTATTATTTAACACTACATGTCATCATACACCCATTCATACACTGATAGGAGCTACCATGCAAGGTGTTACATGCCCCTCAGGACTAACTAACATTCTACGGGAGCAATTTGGGGTTAAGTGTCTACTAAAGAGTAGGCCGTATCATTTATGCTGTTTTCTTCTCTCTGTAGTGACAAAAGGACCGAAGCAGTGCATACCATAATATGTGAAGGGTGGCGAGGACTCTGAAGGTCTCCTGTGTCTGCAACAAGTCACACACTGGCGAATATATGACGTAACTGCTCCGCTCATTTCAGAAATCCAACAGTCATTGGATCTGATTTCGTTAATGGTGAAGCCTTTTCCCTGATGCTTTGTCCTTTCGTGGTTGTGTGCTATTATCAGCTCCGTCACATGATGCTCCTTGGGGATGACAATTAAATGCTTGAATGAGTCGCCGAGGGCAGAGGGGCGGAGTCTTTCGCCCACCTTGAAGATACCGCCTGTGTTCAGAAACACATCGAGGTGTTACAGTTTGTTGTGACGCTATAGTTGACATCTGTTTACCAGCTTGATTTCTTTATCATATGTTTGACTTTGCAGATATGACAAGTTCAGCACTTCCTTTTTCACTCACTGTAGAAGGCACACAAGCCTTGGTATTGTTTGTGGGAGAAACATGGGCCTTTCCTATCACTAGACAACAGTGAATCTCTCCTCTTTGGTTCCTGACTCTAAGATAAGCGCATTGACCCTATCCGCTGATGCTCGCATCAGAAAAGTGATGTAGCTCTGTTGCCACAGCTTCTCCAAAAATGTCTATCTTTTCTAAGTTGGCAAAGTCTTGACACCATCTCTGGCAGTGGGTCATCCCAGGCTATCCCTGTCTATGCTCCAGCGAATCCCTGACACTCGCTCAAGTGGCATATCCTTGAAGGTCAGGTCCTTGGTCTTGGCATCTATTGCACACTCTGATGAGGGGATGCTCTGTAGGAAAGCATGGTTGTCAGACACATTTTTGTAAAAGACGGAGACCACCTTTGGCACATAACTCTCTTGCCTCGTGAGCCAATTGAATTGCTCTTTCCACAGAGTCTGTATTTGTGACTCCATCATCCACATAAAAGTCTCTTGCAACTAACTGGCACCCTATGGATGTGATTGACTGTTTTCCTTGGCTAAGTATTTCAGTCTATAGTTTGTACAGCCAGGAGATGACACTGCACCGAAAAGACCTTCATTTGATATTTCTGTGATTGTTTGCAGTCAGTAAATGGTAGAACACAGTGTAGTTTGAAGTTCAGACAATTTGCTGCCCTTCATGACTTGTTCGTAGAGGCAGCTATTTTTCTGTTTGTGGATATTTTTAATCTGTTTAATAGTGTTTGTTTTAAGGTGTAATATTATAGTAAAGCATCAGTTTACATTCAGAAAAGACATTGAAACACCTCGTTAAGTTCCCTCAGTAATCTTTTCCTTGTTTTCACATCTATAGGTTCCCTGTTTTATTTTTTGTCACTCGCCTCCCCCTCTCCTTTCGGATAACATCACTTCCTGAACTTGTGTGATCACCTTTCCCCGCCCTGATCAGCTTCACCTGTTCCCAATCACCCTCCTCCTCCTTGGATTATTTAGTCTGTGCGCTCCCCTTTGTCTGTGCCAGTTTGTCTTTGTACTTCCGTGTCTAATGTTCCAGCAGTTTCTCCCTGTGATCTTGGTTACCTGGTATTTGAGTGGTGGCACTCCCCTGACTAGTGGTGGCACTCCCCTGACTACTGGTGGCACTCCTCTGACTAGTGGTGCCACTCCCCTGACTACTGGTGGCACTCCTCTGACTAGTGGTGGCACTACTCTGACTACTGGTGGCACTCCCCTGACTACTGGTGCCACTCCTCTGACTACTGGTGCCACTCCTCTGACTACTGGTGCCACTCCTCTGACTAGTGGTGGCACTACTCTGACTAGTGGTGGCACTCCCCTGACTAGTGGTGCCACTATTCTGACTAGTGGTGGCACTCCTCTGACTAGTGGTGCCACTCCTCTGACTAGTGGTGGCACTCCTGACTAGTGGTGGCACTCCTCTGACTAGTGGTGGCACTATTCTGACTACTGGCGGCACTATTCTGACTAGTAGTGGCACTCCTCTGACCAGTGGTGGCACTCCTCTAACTAGTGGTGGCACTCCCCTGACTAGTGGTGGCATTCCCCTAACTACTATTGGCACTCCTCTGACTAGTGACTAGTGGTGGCACTCCTCTGACTAGTGGTGGCACTCCCCTGACTACTATTGGCACTCCTCTGACTAGTGGTCGCTCCACAGAGTTTTCTACTTCTATCCTGTTCAGAGATTCTCATCCTCTCGCGTATTCACGCGAGACTTCCCTGTGGCTCTCCGTCACAGACACTGCTTATGTCGCAATACTGACACCTACTGGCGATCCACTGGATCTACTGTCTACAAAGGTAGCTGGTAATAAATAACGCTGTACCCCACATTTTAACTACAATGAACACTTCCTCCTCATAAACACATAGGAAACATAATAAACTCTCTTAACTTACATTACACCCAAGCAACTATTGTACTTACTGAACTACATATGACTTATTGTGCCACAGTGGCACTCCCCTAACTAGTGGTGGCACTACTATGACAACGTGGTTACTCTAAGGATGTCTACAGAGAACGGGTGGCTCAGGTGACTCAACTAAAATCCATACTATGATGATAAAACTGATTTACGGCAGCTGACCTATCGTAACAACAATGGGTGTTCTCAGGAAATGTGGCTCCGCCCGCTCAGCTTGGCAGCTTCTTGACGGGTGCCAAACGAGTGAGGCTCGCTTGCCGCTGTTGTGACACCTGACTGACTCGCCACTGACTAGTCACTGACACAGTCCTGACACCTGACTGACACCTGACTGACGCTTGCCACAGACTAGCCACTGCGGTGCCAGTGCCACAAGGGGGATCTCGGCCTTGCTGGGAAAACCTCTAATTTTACTGCAGCAGGTGTCTCACAGTGTGCTCCTCTAAGTCCTGGTTCTGGTTCTCCCCTGCCTCTTTTCCCTCCAGCGGGCCAAAGAATATAGCCTGGATCTCCAGCAGTGTTCAATCTGGGGAGAAACGAGGCGAAGCTCTGCTCTTTGCCTGCCAGTATATTATTATGCCAAGTGTTTGGACATTGTTATGAGTGAAAATGGATCGTTTTGTAACTCAACCAGAAAACTTGAATCTGTCCATTATTTTAATAGTTCAGTATTGTATGCAAGATACCAGGTATGTTTATGCATGGCAGTGGCACTAATAGGCCATCACTCATTTTCGTTTCCACATTTATGTTTAAAATACAAACGTCAATTTGAATAGCTTGTATGCATGATTATCATGCAATTGACAGACAATTTTGATATTGGCATTGGTATCAGTTGACAAGGTATGTTTATGAATGGTAGTGGCACGGCCACCCTACTCACTGTACCTTGCACATGTTTAAAATAAAAACATGAACATATGAACCTGTGTATTATTTGAAAAGCTTAGTATTGAATGCATAATAACAAGGTATGTTTATACATGGCACTAGGCCCAGTTTAATATAAAACACAATTGTATACAATATATATAGTCGGGGGTCCCTGCTCCATCTCTCTATCAGTGTGGGGGTCCTTGGCCTGAAACACGTTGAAGACCCCTGTCCTAGAAGACATCCAAACCTGATTTGGGTTGGCAGTGAACCTGCACTGCATTGCACAACGTTGTTTCTTTGTTTTCGATAAGATTGGAACATTTTGAACATTTTGTTTGTCTCTATGTGAAACAGTGTGTGTATGAATGTAACTATGGCTATTATAATCTTTAAATGCTAATATCGACACATTACTTATACAGCTTGTTTAAACATCCCACTATAACGATCAGCGGCAACGTTTCCAGTCAGCGATCATTTCCACAGAGAAACCTGAACGCAGCATCCAGAGCAGCGACGTGAGGGTTGAGAAGGACGATGAAAACAAAGATGGACATCGAATCAAAATAGCGTAGTAAGACTGAACATTCATTGTCCCGTGGAAAAGCATTGGCGTAGCTAAAATGTATTAAGCATGTAACGACTGAAGCTGTGCATTCGTTCAAAAATACTGTCGTCTCAAACAACGACTGCTAGTTCGGTAACCGAGCTAAGTTAGCCTCCGTAGCCTAGAAACGTATGCTAGCGTTATTAGCGGTGTGTAACATTAGCTATCTGACGGTGTCCACTGAGACTATCATAGTAGTAACGTTAACTATTAGCTGACATTAGCGTGTTCAGAAAAGAACAAAGAACGCGTCTTGTTAACCGACTCTACCGCTTGCAGTCGTTAGTTCCCCTTTACTCTGTGCCAGATCTCTCGGTCAGCGGTTGTTGTTGCTCCATGACTGAAATCAAACAGCAGACATTATGTTGTAGCACTGGACAGAGGGGCGGTCATGTTGTCATACATGATAAATGATAAGCAAACAACAATGCAATAATGTATCTGCGCCGTAGATCCAGTGAACATTGGGTTGTAACCGTCGAACATATTGTATCGTTTGGCCATGGTTGTATTTTCTCTACCCTCCTCAGATTGTCGCTGTTATTAATTTAAGCAAGTTCAAAAGTTATCGTCTTGACCTAAATGATTTAATTACATCTTAACCACTAAGACTGAAGTTGCATGTTTTGCCCTAGTTTATGTATGTGGCCTTTATGCAATTCAATTTTGATCTGAACTGTGAATTCCAGGTACCTTCATCGTTATAATTAAGTAATTTCAATTATAGATAGCCTATATTTAATTTCTTAATTGGTGTTACGAGTTACCAAAAACAAAGATCTTACTACCAAAGCCCACACATTACTACAACATGCAATTTCCGATATCTATCAAGAAAGTTTCTCAAAATTAATACAAATATATTCTTGCAGTATCCCTGTCCTGCATCCAGTAATGTGTATGCGTCACAAAGCAGTGACTTAATCAATGATGACAACCGTTTTGGATCAAACAATGTGTCGTTGCAATACAAGGCTGCACCATGTAAGACTGAGGGGCTGTTTGGGGTTGTTGGATTTGTATAGCATTCCTATTTGAGTTTGTCTCCACCAGTAGTGCACCTTTTTCCTCCTTTACATTTTTTCTCTGTATAGATTTGATTGCGTTTTTATGATTTCATTACAGGCTGTATGTCAGACGTCTGACTGGCACCCGAGGGGAGAAAAGTGAGAGCCCAGAGTTCAGAACCATGGAGGCTCGCTTTGGGAATATTGTGTTCAGCTCCAAGTTTGACTCCGGGAACCTGGCACGTGTGGAGAAGGTGGAGAAGGGCAGCCATAGCCCTCCTACTAATGCAGCTCCCAGTGGGAGTGCCCTCTCAGGGTCAAACCTTACCCCTGACTATGAGTTCAATGTATGGACGCAGCCAGACTGCAGTGGCACCGAACATGAGAATGGAAACAGGTATAAAAGAAGAAAACAACTTCTGCTTATGTTGCAATTATATTATGTTATTCACATGATAAATGTGTTTACTAGCTGCACACAACCCGTACTATTGGTTACATTGCTTTTAGAATCCCAAATCAGGTTTTTGTGTTTCAGATCGTGGTTTCACTTCAGTGTACGGGGTGCTGCATCTGGAAAGATACTGAAGATCAATGTGATGAACATGAACAACCAGAGGAAGCTCTACAGCCAGGGTATGGCTCCTCTCGTACGCACTTTACCTGGCAAGAACCGGTGGGAAAGGATCCGGGACAGACCCACAGCTGAGGTATGTCCACTGTCAGCCACTGAGGCAGATTGCTGTCCGTTTGTTTTCTGACAGCTATTATTCTCTTTCTCATAATATGTCTCTTCTTCCTTTCTTCTGTCCCTTTGCAGATTGTGGATAACCAGTTCATCCTCTCATTCTCTCACCGGCTGTTGGAGGTGCGAGGGGCGACCACCTACTTCTCTTTCTGCTTCCCCTTCTCTTATAGTGAGTGCCAGGAGATGATGCAGCAGTTTGACAAGAGCTACCCTAATGCTGCTCAACTCATTCCGAGCAGGTACAACACACACAGAAATGCCTAAAGCACACACACACACACACACACACACACACACACACACAAAATATATGTTTGACACTGGTATTACTTTTTAAATTACCTCAATTGAAGAATTTCTGACTATTTTCTCCCAACAATCTCCATCCTCTCACTCAGTGCCCCGGACAGTGTGTATTATCATAGGGAGTTGTTGTGCCACTCTCTAGATGGTAATAGGGTGGACCTGATCACTGTGACCAACTGCAACGGGATGCAAGAGGAGAGAGAACCCCGTCTGCCGAAGCTGTTTCCCGACATCAACACGCCAAGACCACACCGCTTCTCCAGCAAAAGGGTATGACGGAATCATACTTCAACACACAATCGGTATTCTCTTTCGTAATGTGGCAACTTTAATGGCTTACACATAAGGCTGAGGCTGATGTGGAATCAATTAATAATGTGGAAAGTGAAGCTAACCCTTGGTCCTTGTGTGTTTGCAGGTGTTTTTTCTTAGCAGTCGAGTGCACCCCGGGGAGACTCCCTCATCCTTTGTGTTCAACGGTTTCCTCAACTTCATCCTAAGAAGAGATGACCCTCGTGCTCATGCGCTTCGGAACATGTTTCTTTTCAAGCTCATTCCCATGCTCAACCCAGACGGGGTTGTCCGTGGGCACTACAGGTAAGAATTGCACACGTAGTCTCATGCACCATCCTCACTGCAACAATGTAAACATTGTTTGACTCAGTGATCGGTAATGTTTAAACTGATCTTAATTGCATGGTTTGCATTGATTTATGCACTTCTTGTTTCTTGTAAATGTTTCTGAAAGAGTTTTCTAATGTGTTTTTAGGCTTTGGAATGTGATGTCATGTGTTAGCATGCTGCACTGATCCACCATTGTCGTCACAAAGCTAGTTTGCTTTCTCTCATCATATGGCTCAGTCTGGAGCAGGGCTACAGTTTAAGCTAGGGTGGGTTATGTATTTAAGAAACCGGTTTTGTTAAACAAAATATCAGCTATACTTTCCCTGTCTGAAGTCTATGTTATGCACATGCTTACATGTTAACTCCTTATTAGAAACTTGGTTACCTTTTAAGGAGAAATCTAGCTGGATAAATCAGGTTTCTTCAGACCCCTACTCCAATAATGCAAACTGTTTGTCCCGTACACATGCCATTTAAAAAAACAGCACAATGTGACATCAATTTCCAAGCCTCACTACAGTGGAGAAATATATGTTGGGGCATCTGCTGTGTTCTGTCAACAATGTTAAAAGGCTTCTTTTGAATACTTTTTGCAGGACTGATTCCAGGGGTGTGAACTTGAACAGACAATACTTAAACCCCAGCCCTGAGCTGCACCCTTCCATCTATGCAGCCAAAACACTTTTGCTCTACCACCACACACACAACCGCCTGCACAATACACAGTCCAGCAGTCACTGTAACAGCCCCACACACATGCAGACCCCGCCCCTTAGCATCAAACCTGACAATCAACATCAATCTCCTCCCTTCACCTCCCTTGAAGTCAGCTTGAACCAACGAAATGCAGACAATGACACAAGTCCTGCGCTCACAGAAGTTCTGATGGTGACGGAGGAAAACGCCTGGGTCACCACAGAGATGGGGAAGGGGGACCACAACAGCTCATCAAGCTCCTCGGAGACTGTAGCTCCTGTTACTGTAGAGGTAACCGTACCAGAGGTGGAGGAACAAGAATCAATTCCACCACAGGAGGGGGGAGTGGCATACTATGTGGACTTACATGGCCACGCCTCTAAACGGGGGTGCTTCATGTATGGAAATAACCTTCCTGAGGAGAGCCAGCAGGTGAATAGTATTACATTTACTTACCCTCCCTCTGAGGTGTTTTCTGAAAAAAGTTTTAGCAGTTAGTTTCTTTCATTTCAGTAGTTTTGATTTGTGTCAATGACATATTTGTTTATTCCCTTACGGCAGTCACAGAAGATGGTGTACTTCTTTTTGTTCCATACATCTAATGTTGTGTGCACTCTGCTTCTTCTCTCTGCAGGTAGAGAACATGCTGTATCCAAGGCTGATCGCTGTGAACTCTGCCCACTTTGATTTCCTGGGCTGTAACTTCTCAGAGAAAAACATGTACGCACGAGACAAGAGGGATGGCCAGTCTAAAGAAGGCAGCGGGCGGGTGGCCATTCACAAGGCCACAGGGCTGCTTCACAGGTCAGATTCACAAAACGTCAGTTTATATTTAGGGTTGTCACCTCAAATAGTACATGGCAACTTTTGAAAATTGATTTTGAACACTTCTTGGTGATATCAAATTAACTTAACAGTTTTCCAGTTGTATAATTTTTGTTATTGTGTCCCCACCAGCTATACTTTGGAGTGCAACTACAACACAGGAAAAACCATGAACACCATCCCACCTGCTTGCCATGACAATGGACGGGCAACCCCACCCCCACCCTCATCATTCCCTCCAAAATACACTCCAGAAATATTTGAACAGGTAGGTGGGTTCCTTTCCATTCAGAGAGGAATTTGAGTCTTTGTTTAAAGTGAAACTTCACACCGATCATTATTTAGAAAGTGCAGATAATATGGGCAAGGGGCTGAGAGCAAGCCCTCAGGAAGAGTGTCAGGCTTTGAAGCCATTAACATAGTGGCCAAACCGTGGAATTACAACTTCCACGTCCGTCACGTGATACCATTAGGCGGCAACCTACAGGTCTGAAAAGTGAAGCCAATGCAGAAGTGCCTTGAGCTTGCGTAGTTTCTAATAGCTAGCACGGAGAAAAGGACTCTGCTTCTTAGTAAATGATGGTCCATTTAGAGTCAAATAGACCATAAGGAGGAGTGTGCTTTAGGGCGGGGCAACCTTGTGATTGACAGGTCCCTACCATGGAGATGTCCGGTCTGAGAGTTTCTGTCTTACAACTTTAACACTTTATTAAAGTTAATTGTAACATTTTGGTCGCCTGCAAATGTCTTATTCAGTGTTCAGTTGTACTTAGCTCCACCCTCTTGTGGTTGCAAACAAGATAACAAGAGTCTTCAAAACATCAGGCCACAAACCAATGGATGACTTCACTGCAACTACGTCCACTTCTGATATACAGTTTATATGCATTGCCTGAAAAAGACTTTTTCCCTTAGACCAGTAGTTCCCAAAGTCAGTTGTCAGCTGAAGGTAATCAAAAGAAAATATGACAAAGTAGGGCTGTACCGAATAGTTTGAAGCTTCATTCATAACGTTGACAGTCAAATTATGATTAATAATAACTTAGAGAAATATGACCTTCCACCTTCTCTTCCCTTCGCTCATCCTCCCAAACACACAGCGATGCTCCTTGTCTCTGTAATTGTCTGTCTCAGTCCAAAAGTTACAATTTATTGAAAAAAAATGTAATTATTTCCAAAATTCACAATATGTTTTCTCTAATGAAATACTCTGCTTCAAACCATATTTGGTTTTATTAAGCCTTTCAAAAACTACATTTTCACTGCAGTCAAAACGGTGTACTCTCCCGCAACCACCTGTATTAATGGGGCATCTGTGTGGCTACTGTAGCTCGGTGAGATCAGGTCGTCCTTTGATCCTCTGCTAGTCCATGTCCGTGTGTCCTTGGGCAAGACACTTGGGCAGGTGGTACCCAGCATGGTAGCCCCTCTCATCAGTGTGTGAATGGGTGAATGATGACATGTAGTGTTAAAGAGCTTTGAGTGGTCGGAAGACAAGACAAGAGAAATACAAGTACAGTCCATTTACCATTCTAACAGCAACATTAATTCATTCCATTTTTAGGGTGATAACAAACATCCAAAGCTTCATTTTAAAAACCTCCATCAGAGCTTTCAATAGAAAAAAAGACATTTGGTAGAGCCTTTATTTAAATCATTATGTGCTCAAAGTTGTAAAATGCACTAATGTCCAAATGGAGAGTTCTCTTCGTGCTGCCGTTCATGTGAATGAGCCGAGACTAAGCGGCTGGGAGCCACGGTTCAAGGAAATGTAGTGTGCTTGCTCTATGGGACCATAGGCGCAGAAGATCCATGTAATTCTATCACTTTGGCTTCATGCACCGCTGAGCCACTCTCAAAAGAATGAACGGGAGCTTGCCTCCAACATGGTATCCAGTTCTCTTTATACACCCATGACTGAGAGGGGGGTCAGGAAGGGGCTATGGAGAGGGGCGGGGTATATTATAGGGCTTTAATATTGTTTTTTTTATATCAAATTCATGACGTAGATAAGTCCCTACCGGTCAGCTCTACTCTTATTGGCCTTGCGAGGTTCATGGTTGGCTCAAAACAGTAGATGGCGTGTTGAGCCATTTTCAACCCATGAAATGCAGATTTTCATAAGTTTGGTCAGAAATGTCAATATCAACACCAGCATTGATGTGTTTTGTCAGGTACAGTCCTATCATTCAGTTTATAGTTTAGCACATATTTAAGGATTGCAGGTTTCTGGTGTACGTGAATGAACTACTTTTCAACACAGGAATCCTAAGCTATTGACTCACCTGTCATCAGCTGATATTTCCACGCTAGATGCACGTTGATGATTTTGATATTTAATAACTGCAAAACCTACCTACCAACTCGACCTTAAAAGATAAGGCACTAATGTATAAAGTTGTGTTTTTAATGGAGTGTGAGATGTAAGAAAGTCGAACACAAAAATTGCTGAGATATTGAAGTAGAAGTGTGAATCTAGACATGTATGTGTGTAGATGTTTTACACCTGTATGCATGGATATATACTCCTGGAAGTAAAGATTAAGGACTTACCTATGAACTAAGAACTGGAAAAGGGTTTTATGTAAACAAACAACACACAAAAAACTTAAAGCTTTTGTACACTCTGCAATGTTGCCCTTTCAAAATAAAATGAGATAAAGATATGGTGCTGAAGTGGACTAATGGATGTTGTGCGTCAGGTGGGCCGTGCCGTGGCTATCTCTGCCCTGGACATGGCAGAGTGTAACCCCTGGCCACGGCTGGTGCTGTCTGAGCACAACTGCCTGATGAACCTCCGAGCTTGGATCCTCAAACACGTCCGCAACACCAAAGGCCTGAACACACACATCCACGCTCATCCTCCACCAAGAACACACCACAATGGCAGCAAGGCGTCACCGCCAAAGAGCTTCAACAGGTGAGTGTACACACATCTCTTTATCAAACCCCTAAATAGCACACACTTTAGTTCCCGTGGTTTGTAACATTTGGTTCATGGGTTTCTGTGTTTGGCGTGATCTTCTGCCCAGCTGTTTGTCTGGCTCAGCGTCGGAGAACACACTCAATCGCATTCGCTGCAACAGTCACAGTAGCAGCAGCCAGACGCTGTCCCCGAAGATGCACAGCTCCCCGAGCTTTACTTTTGGCTGCCCCCCATCCCGAACTTACACACAGTACAACGGCACACACACCAGCGGACGTGGAGTCAACAAGACACTCGGCCCAGTCAGGGGTAAGTTGATCTCCCCACCATCTGCTCGTGTTGCTGGCTGGCATTTTCTATCCATCACCTCTTCTTGGATGTACCTCCGCTCCTCTCTTTCTCGCTCTAAATATCACATATGTCATCTGCTTTCTCCTTGCCCTCTTTCTGCTGTTGGAGTTGTTAAGAAAGGCTAATGGGTGGTTGATGTGTCGCTGTCTGCGCTCCAGGTTTATTGTGATGGTGATGTCAAATTGGGCTCAGATTTGAACACGTGAACAGATTAATGTGCTGGATTTCTGTGGTCTGGAACATCAGTATGAGCCCTGCATGACCTCAGTGCATGCTTTGAAGATTAGTTATTGAAAACATCAGCCCTGTTTTAGGGTCGAAAAATTCTTGAAACATACTGATATCATTTTCAACTTCGACCCAAACCTATGCATCTCGTCTCGCATCGGGACATCTGGCTCATGTGAAGGGCTTTAACGTGTGCGTGTCCACCCGCATGTCTCTGAGCAGGTGCATGTGTGTGTCTCCCTCTCTGTAGACCCTAAGCCTCAGGAGAGGAGACGTCCACCCCACCACCGCTCCATTCTACGGCCTCCCAGCAACAGCCACACACCCTCCCACCCCCCACTCTCACCCCCTTCCTCCTCCTCCTCCTCCTCGTCTTCCTCTGTGTGTGCAGCGGCCTCCGTCAGTATGACAGGTCTGTACTCCCTCCAGTCCCCAAGCCTCTCCACCCTGCTCCCTTCCCTGCAGGCTCTGCCCCGTCCCGGGCTGCTCTCCAAACTGAGCCCCCTGCTCCTTCAGGGCCTAACGCCAAACACCAACACTCCAGCTGGGCCCACCCGGGACTCAAGCTGACCTAACCAATGAGAGCTTGGTCATAGGTGTGTGTTGGTGGACTGAGTGAATGTAAGCTCTTAAAATGACTTGGGAGTACCAGACAAGTGGTGTTTTTAGTGATATCAAAAGACTGAGTGTCTTTTCCAAACTTGCACCTGCCTGGCACTCCATGTACTGTCGATCAAAACAAGTGCAAATCACTACTTGATCGTGTGTGTGTCTGAAATATCACTGGTGCTAGCACTTCTAAATTTTCCTCAAATATTATTGTTTTCCTTCTGCAAATATGTGTGTAATGACATGTATCTACAGTAGTAGCACCTACGGATGTATAATAGACTTGTGAGTGCATGTGTTGTGTGTTGAAGCCCTGACTCAAGCATTGCTGATTTCATAGCACTCAGTGAGTAGTTCTTGTGGTTGTCCTGCACACTGTTTAATGTGTGAATGGGTTTAGCAGAGAGAGTCAGTTGCTCGGCTACATAACCATCGTTGCAGAACTTTGGGTAGATATTTGCAGTATACATTAATATTGGAACTATTATACTCATGGATTAGCTTACATTGACTTAGTCTCTTTTCCACTCTGTACACAAGTAATAAGCTAGGAAGAATACCACATTAGTGTGCTGATCGGGAAATAGTCAGGGCTGTCAATGGTTCAATATAGTTTTACTTTTGCCATGTTGCACTTACATTTTTGAATTTTTTATTGGTTTTACTTTATTTTTAAGAAACATAGTGTGGCTGTGTCTGAAAAATAAGATGACGTTTTTCTTTTTTCAATGTATTTGTATTTCGCTCTGTAATGTTTATATGTGAAACAGTGCACGTCACAGTGCACGTCACAATGCCCACTTCTAGTCCTCTTAGCAGGACAGAGCATTCTGTAGACTGAATTTCATTCATAGTGACTGAAAAGGAGTGTGACTTAGTTCTTAGTTGTGAAACCTATATCATTTCAGTGTCGGTCCAATGTTGGTGTTATGATGTTCACAGTGTAGCCCACTGCCAGAAAGCTCATCACGGGGTTCTCTGAGGGGGGAAAGGTTGCTTTATGGAGCTGATTGCCAACAAGCAATATCATATGAAAACACTTTGACTAAATCAATGTTGTGTTTAGAATATTTCAATATATGATTCCATTATTGATTTGGATGTAAATAAAATGTTATGTTCTTTAATTTTATTACATGTTTCATCAAACTGGTGAATAAAATGATGATTATTATTTATTCAAACACATTTGCGTGTTTCCTAGTGTAACGTTTATTTAGCAGGCTGTCCACTGTCAAAGGTTATGTATTTTGTGGTTAGCAGAGGTGAGAAAATAGCTTGTTGTCTTGGTCTATATGTGGTCTGTGACTTTGTGTGCTGTAATCCTAGTACTTGACGATGGTCTGTGTTTTAGCGCCAGCCATTTTAGATGCACTGAATATGCAGAGGTGGAGCATGTGAGACCTGGAGAGGGTTCTGAAGAGCAGATGAATATCTGGCCTTGACTCCCTGTAGCCATCGTCTGTGTAGTGCTGTAGGTCTGGAGTCTGTTGTAAGCAGTAGGTTGTGGAGGCTCTGCTCATTGCTTTTTTCTAGTAGGACATCCTTCCTGCCTCCTCATCTTCTTCGTCATCAATAGGGAGACAATTGGCATCACAAGCCGCAATGAAGAGTGAAAACAAGTTATCATTTATTTATAATTGAGTGGCTTTTTGAGTTTGCAGGCGTAAACCACTCTGTAGTTACACATATAAATGCAGATAATGTTTGCACACTTATGTGAAATGTGTATATTTGGTACTGTTCTTGACCTTTAGTTTAGAGCAGATATCAAGCTAAAAAGAGGTGGTGTGGTGGATAGCACCGCTGCCTCACAGACGGGCCTTCTGTGTGGAGTCGCATGTTGTCCCCGTGTCAGTGTGGGTTCTCTTCAGGTTCTCCGGCTGCCTCCCTCAGTCCAAAGACGTGCAGCGTAGGTTAGGTAGACTGTGTGGACTTGATAGTCTGGAGACAGGTCCAGGGGGTGCCCTGCCTTCGCCCAGTGTCAGCTGGGTTTCGGCTCCAGCCCCCCCCCCCCCCCCCCCCCCCCCCCCCCCCCCCGCAACCCTCAACTGATGCCAGTGATTGTCTTGCAGCCCCGTCCTGTCATACATAGATGGGGAAAGAGAAATATGTGCTCTAATAGAACAAATGATTATGTTAATAGGAGTGAAACCTTTGAGGGTTGTTTTGTGCTCTGGAGACATAAAAGTCGCTTACTACTCCTTTAATATCACCAAGACGATGATTTCCATGTAGCCTCTGTCCATTCAATGCAGTGGGACGGCTGTCACTTTACATCAATGCCCTGAAGACTAGAGAATATAGATTTCTGTAGTTGTATTCCGCTTTCTTTCTGTGAACATGTCCTGTTTCCTAGTTCTTTCAGTCCTAACGTTTATATGCATCTTCATGAAGGATGACAAAATCAACTTTAGGTTGAGTCCCACCTCATGCACACTCACATTTTCACCAGGTCTTTCTGCTCCTTATGAGAGGTGTGCCGGTTCCTTCAATGTGGTGCTCACCTTCTGCACCAGACTAGGGTTGGTAGTTAGTGTTTGTCTGTGTAATAGAATACCACCTTCTTCAATGTGCTGCTGGCTGTTTAACCATTGGAATAAAAAATATTCCTGTGTGAAGCAATTTCTGTGTGTGGGTCCTCTGCTGTCTGTTGACTTAGTTTGTGTGTAATCTTTGTTTCTCAGCTTCCATGTGGAATGTAGTGGGTCAGAACTGCTGAGAAGTTAAACCTCTGTCCTCTTAGATTGGATGAGAGTGTTAGTCCAAACACTAAAGATAAAGAGAAGGATCTGTTGTACATGCATGTGTTACATTTGTTGATTTATGAATCCATTTCCAAATAGTTTGTTGTTTTGAACCATGAACATTGTGTTACTCCTCTGTTACCTGCTGTTTCTCTGTTCCTTGTATTTATGTCCCTCCGTCTGCTTATCAGGCCTCAGCTGCCCAGACTTTCAGGCTGGAGGACCCACTTCAGCGGGTTGGTCCAGAATGCCTTTCCCCATGCGGCGTGTGGGGAGAGGGTGCCGGACTCTTACAGTCACTCATCACCCCGCAGAGGACCGCACAGAGGTTAGCTGACCTTGCTGGTTCACTCACAGAGAGCAAATGCTCCTCATTTCTTCTATTACTAGTTCTTTTTACTACAATTTCTCCGAGAGGCAACATACATTTGGTTTATGAAGTCTCACTGTGATGTCTCCATCTGTCACAGACCGCTAAAGACTTGGGGCCTGAACATATCCTTTCCTCCATCAAATTTAGCAAGTGAGTCCAATCTTGTCTGTGTATCTTGGGGTTTTTCTAAATCTCACAGGGAACATTCTAAGTCAAACATGGGTTGGAATTCACAAATAGAAGGAAATAAAAATGGAAAAACAGTACACACTATGAAGGGAATTCTGATTAAAAAGGTTACACATCTGCATTGTCACCACAAAACATTGTATGTTATCCCTACTGTGATTTTATAAATGAGTGGTGAACCATATTAACCTTTCTGTTGCCCGCCCAGGTATGAGCTGCAACCTCACATGAGCCGCATCCCCATCCGGAGAGCGGGGTCGACTGAAAGCCATCCTGCACATGGCAGTAAAATCTCCCCTACCAGCATTAACCCAGTCTCATCTGGAGAGGAGGAGGAGTCTGCCACCATGAAGGTCTGGAAGCTGCTTAGACCTGGCCTCCATCGACACTTGTCACTGTCAGGCATGTATACATACACATACACCAGAGAGGGTCATTACTAAAGATATTGTCCTTTGTTCCATACGTTTCAAGTGCTGCATGACACTGCTTTTAGAGTTCCTCTTCCCAGTATGTAAACTACCCATATCCATAGTTAACACATTTATTTCCTTCTACAGGTGTATCTGGGAAAGAGGGTGCCATGCCGCTGGCCTCTAAAGCACTAATGAAGAAAAGCCCAGACAGCAGTCTCCACTACAGAGGAAATACTATTATAGAAACGGCACACGAGGATGAAGCGGTGGAACAGGTGAAAACAGACACGCATTAATGTACAGTCAGACAGAAAGGAATGCATCAAAAGAATAAACCTTGACCTTCAGGCTGTATGACGTTGTCTTGGAAGGGTGAGGAAGCTCCAGCGATGCCTCTGCCTGAGACTGTGAACATGTGTGAGGCAGTGGCCCTGTATGGAGAAGCCTAGCAGCTGCACAGAAGAGGAGCCACTTGTGTGTATGTCTGTATTTCCTTGTGAGCCTAAATTAGGATATTGTGACCAAAACCATTTCAACCAGGAAACAGGAGGGGGCATTGTCATCACAGCAGGGTTACTTGGGGCATCTTAATATGCAATACAGCAGGTTTAACAGTATTTATTCAGATTCCAGAACATGCATGATGTTTCCACCCATGCTGTTCAACATAGTCCGACTGTGGAGCTGTACAACCACTGAGCAGCTTCACTGGAGCAGCTAAAGGTTTAGTGCCTTGCTCAATGAAACCACAGCTGTGGTTGAGGTAGAGGAGAAGTACACACCTTCCCCATCCAAGTTTTCCAACTGATCATGAATCCATACACTTGAAATATTCTGTATCCTTTCAGCTACCATCATTGTACTTCACATATTGTTCTTTGTAGTTTTAGTCCTTGCCTCCTGATGTCCCCTGATGTGTAACTGCACTCTGACCAACACTGTCATGCACTGGCAAGTATTTTTACAGTCACCCACTTGTACTATTACAGCAAAGGGTTGATTTTTATTCAGACTGATAAGCACGGCAGCACCTTCATAACCTCCTTGTTTCAGTTGTGACTTTAGAAACAAATGTGAGTGAAGTGTGTATTTAATGTCATTATTCCAGAAGGTTGTGGTGTTTTGCATATTTTGCCTATAAAAGGTTTGCACTCCTGACATTTTCATGGTTTGTTTTACACAAATTTAAGTATGTTTTACTCCAGCAAAGAAACCGTAAAATAGTGGTGTGTAATGAGTGCAAATATGAAACAATAAGTAGCTACACACGTCCTATTGAATCGAGACCACTGGTGTGTGACAAGAAATATGATAAATGCTTCTGAAAGGTCCAGCTACTAGTCTGAAAGTACAGTAACAGCACGGTTAGGTTACTGAAAAAGAACCAACCACAACTAACAATACAAAACCAAGGCTATGAATATTGCTTAATAACATAAAGAAAATAAAACATGCTGTATATCTGCCTGCAGCAGCTCAGCCTTAAGTGGGAATGTCTGTGAAAAAATCCCAAGAGAGAGGACACCAAAGCCCACGAGGCCTGGCAGTGGCTGCATCTCCTGCAGTCTACCAGAGGACTTGTGGGGTCCTTGAGATATCAGTCCTGGTTGATTTAGTTCCTATTTGAGTGAAAATATATACATATACATACACACACACATATATACACACACACACATATACACACACATATACACACACACACATACATACACATATATACATACATACACATATATACATACACATATATACATACACACACATACATACATATACATACATACATACATATACATACATACATACATACACATATATACATACACATATACATACACATACACATATACATACACATACACACATATATACATACACATATATACATATATACATACACATATATACATATATACATACATATATACATACATACATACATATACAGTTGTGTGAAAAAGTGTTTGCCCCCTTCCTGATTTCTTATTTTTTTGCATGTTTGTCACACTTAAATGTTTCAGATCATCAAACAAATTTAAATATTGGACAAAGATAACACAAGTAAACACAAAATGCAGTTTTTAAATGAAGGTTTTTATTATTAAGGGGGAAAAAAAATCCAAACCTACATGGCCCTGTGTGAAAAAGTGATTGCCCCCTAAACCTAATAACTGGTTGGGCCACCCTTAGCAGCAACAACTGCAATCAAGCGTTTGCGATAACTGGCAATGAGTCTTTTACAGCGCTGTAGAGGAATGTTGTCCCACTCATCTTTGCAGAATTGTTGTAATTCAGCCACATTGGAGGGTTTGAGCATGAACCGCCTTTTTAAGGTCATGCCACAGCATCTCAATCGGATTCAGGTCGGGACTTTGACTAGGCCACTCCAAAGTCTTCATTTTGTTTTTCTTAAGCCATTCAGAGGTGGACTTGCTGGTGTGCTTTGGATCATTGTCCTGCTGCAGAACCCAAGTGCGCTTCAGCTTGAGGTCACGAACAGATGGCCGGACATTCTCCTTCAGGATTTTTGGTAGACAGCAGAATTCATGGTTCCATTTACCACAACAAGTCTTCCAGGTCCTGAAGCAGCAAAATAGCCCCAGACCATCACACTACCACCACCATATTTTACTGTTCGTATGATGTTCCTTTTCTGAAATGCCGTGTTACTTTTACGCCAGATGTAATGGGACATACACCTTCCAAAAAGTTCAACTTTTGTCTCGTCAGTCCACAGAGTATTTTCCCAAAAGTCTTGGGGATCATCAAGATGTTTTCTGGCAAAACTGAGACGAGCCTTTATGTTCTTTTTGCTCAGCAGTGGTTTTCGTCTTGGAACTCTGCCATGCAGGCCATTTTTGCCCAGTCTCTTTCTTATGGTGGAGTCATGAACACTGACCTTAATTGAGGCAAGTGAGGCCTGCAGTTCTTTGGATGTTGTTCTGGAGTCTTTTGTGACCTCTTGGATGAGTCGTCGCTGCGCTCTTGGGGTAATTTTGGTCGGCCGGCCACTCCTGGGAAGGTTCACCACTGTTCCATGTTTTCGCCATTTGTGGATAATGGCTCTCACTGTGGTTCGCTGGAGTCCCAAAGCTTTAGAAATGGCTTTGTAACCTTTTCCAGACTGATAGATCTCAATTACTTTGTTTCTCATTTGTTCCTGAATTTCTTTGGATCGCAGCATGATGTCTAGCTTTTGAGGATCTTTTGGTCTACCTCACTTTGTCAGGCAGGTCCTATTTAAGTGATTTCTTGATTGAGAACAGGTGTGGCAGTAATCAGGCCTGGGTGTGGCTAGAGAAATTGAACTCAGCTTTCCAAAGATGTGATAAACCACAGTTAATTTATGTTTTAACAGGGGGGGGGGGCAATCACTTTTTCACACAGGGCCATGTAGGTTTGGATTTTTTTTTTTCCCCTTAATAATAAAAACCTTCATTTAAAAACTGCATTTTGTGTTTACTTGTTATCTTTGTCTAATATTTAAATTTGTTTGATGATCTGAAACATTTAAGTGTGACAAACAAAAAAATAACAAATCAGGAAGGGGGCAAACACTTTTTCACACAACTGTATACATATATACATACATATATACATACACACATATATACACATACATACATATATATACACACACATATATATATATACACACATATATATATACACACATATATATATACACACACATATATATACACACACATATATATATATACATATATATATATATACACACAT